TTTCCTTTAAGACTTTGGAAGCTATGCCATTTTATACATATACATCAACATAGATATAGATATATGTGTGTGTATATATATGTATGTGTATATGTGCGTGTATATATGTATATGTATATGTATACACACATACATATACATATATATAATTGATGCTACTTTATTGTTGTTTTGTTTTGTTGTTGTGGTTTGTTTTTTTTAAATTTTGGAGGCAATGGGGATTATGTGACTTGCCCAGGGTCACACAGCTAGGTTGTAAGTGTCTGAGGCCGGATTTGAACTCAGTTCTCCTGACTCCAGGGCTGGCACTCTATCCACTGTGCCACCTAGCTGCCCCTACTTCATTGTTTATGTACCTTTCAGCAAAATGTAGTTTCCTTGATTATCTCTTTTAATTAGGTCTGTTTTTGCTTTTGCTTTATCTGACATCATGGTTAATACCCCTGCCTTTTTTTTTTTTTTTACTTTAGCTGAAGCATAATAGATTCTGCTCCAGCCTTTTATTTTAATCCTGTATGTGTCTTTCTGTTTCAAGTGTGTTTCTTGTAAACAGCATGTTGTTGGATATTGGTTTCTAATCCATTCTGCTATCTACCTCTGTTTTATGGGTGAATTCATCCTGTTCACATTCACAGTTAACATTACTTAGCTGTATATTTCCCTCTCTCCTATTTTCTTCTATTTATGCTTTTCTCTTTCATTTTACTCTGGCCCTTCTCAAAAGTCTGTTTTGCTTCTGACAACTCTGTCCTTTAATCTGCCTTCCAGCCCTTTTCTTATCCCTTTCTGCTCCTACTTCCCAGCTGGGTAAGATAGGTTTCATACATAATTGAGGGTGTGTGTGTGGAGGTGTGTTTTCTTCCCTCTTTGAACCAATTCAGATTTAGACTGAAGGTCAAGTGTTGCCCACCATGCCCTGCCCTGTTTTCCCCGCCACTGTAAAAGCGCTTCCTTGAGCACCTATTTTATGTGAGATTATTTATCCCATTCTTCCCCTTCCACGAGTGTATGCCTTTTTCTTATCCCTTCATTTTTTGAAGAAATAATCCCAATATAATTTGACTCACACCTGTGCTCTCCATTTAATGTGGACTCCTAACTACATTAATAATGATAATGTCCTTGAGAATTACATGTATCACATCTTCCTAATATAGGCACATAAACAGTTTAACCTGATTAAGTCCCTTATGATTTCTCTTTAATATTTGTCTTTTTATGCTTGTCTTGAGTCTTGTGTTTGAATATCAGATTTTTCTATTCATCTCTGATCTTTTCATCAGGATTGCTTGAGAGTCCTCTCTTTCATTAAATGTCCATTTTATCCCCTGAAGGGTTATACTCATATTTTTTTCTGGGTAAGTTATTATTAGGTGTAATCCTAGCTCCTTTGCCTTTCAGAATATCATATTCCAAGCTTTCCACTCCTTTAATGTGGAAGCTGTTAAATCTTGTATCATCCTGACCATCTTCGTGGTATCTGAATGTTTTCTTTCTGGCTGTTTTTGCAGTTTTTTTCTCCTTGACCTTGATAACTCTGGAATTTGGCTATAATTTCCTGGGAGTTTGTGTTTTGAGATCTCTTTCAGGAAGTGATCAGTGGATTCTTTCATTTTCTATTTTTCATTCTGGTTCTAAGATATTGGGAAAGTTTTACTTGATAGTTTATTGAAATATGATATCTAGGCTCTTTTTTTTTTATCATGGATTTCATATAATCTAATAATTCTTGAATTATTTCTCAGTTTATTTTTCAGTTCACTTGTTTTTCCAGTGAGATATTTCACATTTTCTTATATTTTTTCATTCTTTTGACTTTGTTTATTTGTTTCTTGATATCTCATGGAGTCATTAACTTCTACTTTCCCAATTCTGATTTTGAAGGAATGATTTTCTTCAGGGAAGCTTTGTACCTCTTTTTTCCATTTGGCCAATTCTGCTTTCTAAGGAGTTCTTCAGTGAATTTTTATACCTCTGTTACCATTTTGCCAGTTCTGTTTTTTTAAGTTATTATTTTCTTAAGCATTCTTGTGCCTCTTTTACAAAGTTGTTATTCCTCTTTTCATAATCTTCTTGTATCACTTTCATTTTTTTTTCCAATTTTTCTTCTACCGTTCTTTTCTCTTTCTTTAGCACTTCCAGGAATTCTTGTTGGGCTTGTGTCTTATTTGCGTTTTGCTTGTGGCTTTTTTTTTTTATGTTGTCTTCTGAGTTTGTTTTTGATCTTTCTTGTCGCCATTATAGATTTTTATGGTCGAATTTTTTTCTCCAGCCTATTTGTTGACATTTAATTTTATGTTAAAGTTGGGCTCTGCTTACCTGGGGTTTGGGGGGCACTGTTCCAAGCTACTATTTTCACAGCAAGTTCTGGGGGTTTGGAAATTTTGGGTGCTTTCAAGGTGATAAGATCCAAGTAGAGGTGCTCTTCTGGTCTGAGCTCTGGTCTTTACCCAGGAGGACCCCTCTTCCCATGCGGCCCCAAGCACTAGTACTCTGCTGCACTCTGGACTTGCAACCCAGAACTGCATTTAGGCAGTCCAACAGGTCTTGTACCAGTACCTGCTCATGGTCCCCTGGAATCTCTTTCTGACCAGTTTCCCAACTCCCTTACCACCTCTGGGCTGAGAGCTTGCCTCCAGGGCCCACCACTGGTGTTGATGCACCACATGTGCTCCAGGCTGGGCCCTACCCCAGTGTCACAGACCTCTCCTGCCAACCTCATAAATTATCTTGGGTTGGAAAAATATATCATCATAACCTTTCATTGGCTCTGCTGCTCTAGAATTTGATTTGACATATTATTTTAAAATTGTTTGGAGGGGAATGTTGGGAGAGTTCAGCTGGGTTGTTTCCCTTACACCACCATCTTGGCTCTGTCTCCTGTGAATGACTTTAAATGTTAAACAGAGGCATTTGGGAGCTTTGTGAGCAAAAGAATATCAAGAAGGTCAAACTTATGCTTTAAAAATTTCATTTTGGCTGTAATGTGGAGAATGGATTAGGAAAGGGGGAAAATAAAAGTAGGGAGACAAGAGTCAAGACTGTTGAGGGCAAGAGTTGATGAGGCCTGAACTGAGATGGGGGAGATGTATGAGGAGAGAGAGAAGAGGTAAATAGAAGGGACAACTGTAGAAGTAGAGACCATAAAACTTTGCAAGTGCATATGGGGAGTGAGGAAAGGAAAGAATAAAGGAGTGTACCGAGATTGTAAAGCTGGATAATTAGAAGGATAATGAGTAGTACCTTCAATCGAACTACTACTACTATTACCATTCTGTTAAATCTTGGTAATGAAAAAGAATGTGGTGTAGTTGAGAGAGAGAGGCTGTACCAGACTCTACCCATTCCCATATTAGACATTGAAATTGCTCTCTTATTTTTTTTGCAGTTATGTGTGTTGTTGCTATGAAAAATCTGAACAGATAGCGGAAATAGAGAACTAATATTTTCAGGATATATTCCCAACGGTATAATTATTGGGTCAAATGATGTGATTATTTTGTAACTTTTACTCTACTGTCAAATTGTTCTCCAGAAAGATTCTATAAGTTTTAAAATTACAGTAGTGAACAAATCTACCTGTTTCTCCACAGCCCGACCATTATTGAGTTGTCTTTTTTTTTTCTTCATTAATTGGGTGTGAATACTTCAGAATTGGTTTAATTTATATCTCTTTTATAATTAGTGAGATTGGATATGTTTGCAAATGGTAAGCATTTTGTATTTCTTTAATAAATTATCCATATATTTTGAGCATTTATCTATTATTCACTAGAAGTTACCTTTATACATTTTTAAAAGAGTTCCTTGATCTATATCTTAGCTTTTTAGGTGTCCCTTTTACCATAGATTCCCAAGCTGTCTTTTTATTGTTGTTGCAACTATATTTCATTGTACAGAAATTTTTCATTTTAATGTAGCTGAGTGTATCTACCTTATCTTAATTTCCTCTTTTTGTTGAATAGTAATAGGAAATCCTTTCTCCACAATTGAGATACATATATTCCATTTTCTTCCATCTTTTAAATTTTTTTCATGTTTTTAAGTCTTTCATCTAGCTGGAATTCACTAATGTATTATATTTTATTGATTTATTTTTTGTTTGTTTGTTTTGGTGAGGCAATTGGGATTAAGTGATTTGCCCAGAGTCACACAGCTAGTAAGTATTACATGTCTGACACTGGATTTGAACTCAGGTCCTCCTGACTCCAGGGCTGTTACTCTATCCACTGTGCCACCTAGCTGCCCTCAAGTATATACTTAAAACATAAGGATTTAAATCTGTTTTCAACCAAGTTGCTGAGCAGTTTTCCCAAGTACTATTATTAAATAATCCTTTCCTCAGTTTTTATCTTTATAGGTTTGTCAAGTCAATTTGATTTTCCTAATTTTATTGTTTTTCTTTACTGTGAGAGCAGTTAAGAAGCTTATTTGGAGGACACTTAGTTATTACAATACGGTACAGGTGTGAAAGGTCCAGTTTCACACTAGATTATAACTGTGGTATCTTTTAGTTTCTGTGATTGCAATAAAATTTCATGTCTTGCCAGTAAATGTCATTATATAGAAATCTGTGCATATAATCAATAACTTGTATTGTTATGTACCATAAAAATGAAGGTTTTTTTAGTAATTAAAAAAAAGAGGGAGGAGTCAGGAAATTTAACCCATTGAGTCGTTAAAGAACTGGTGATGCAGAGGCACTTGTTTGTTCACCATTTTCAGATATCTTGAATTTATTAAGAAAAGAAGCATTATGAAAATTTAGTGGCCATATTTGGTGTGTGAATAAATAAACTTAAGTATCAATGTGACATTTTGATCAATGTTACTATTTCATATTGTAAAATTTTGTGAAAATTGTTAGATCCTTGACATTTATCATGCAAAACAAACCTTGAAGCACAGGCTTAACATATTGAAACAACTAATTTCTAAATACTAAGTGATTAAATTCATCTTTTCTTAACAATTGCAAAAAAAATTTCTTCTGTCTTTAGGTGAGAAGTGCAAATTATGATGCTGATCCATTTGTTCAGGAATTTCAGTTTAAAGTTCGGGATGAAATGGCCCGTGTAACGGGACGTGTACTCCCCGCTCCTATGCTGCAGTATGGAGGACGGGTAAAAGTTCTCACTTTTCTCTTCTTCTCTCATATTTCATTTCTCAAGAGTAGAACAGAAGGATAACTGAGTTGGGCTGGCATTTTAAGTCTTTTCCTAGCTCCTCTTTGTTTAAAGTGATAGTAGATCATTTTCAAATAAAATTGTTATAATAGCTTTCACTTAGATCATTCTGCTATGATTCTATTTTCTATTTAGGGTCAGAAAAGAGAAACCAGTTATTTCTTGGCATAAGGTGAAAAGTTTCTGTTTTCATCAAATGGTGCATCATTTAAATAGGTGATAGATGTTCTTACTATCGTTTGGCCTTAGTACAAATTTATCTTGTCTTGTCTTTTTGTAGAATCGAACAGTAGCAACTCCAAGCCATGGAGTATGGGACATGCGAGGGAAACAGTTCCACACAGGTGTTGAGATCAAAATGTGGGCTATAGCTTGTTTTGCTACTCAGAGACAGTGCCGAGAAGAAATATTGAAGTAAGATATTTTACTTTCTTATAGCCTTTTGGTCTTAATTTGATTTTAAAATCTCTAGCTACATTTATTTACCAGTTTTGTCTTGTTCTCTCAATACTGAATATGCTTGATTATGATTACTCTTTGAAATGAGTTATAATCTGTCAGTCTTGATTGACCAGCAGATCTTAAAGACTTAAATAATCGATTGCTAAAAGATTTCTTCGATAGCTGGTATCAGTTAAAATTGGTGAGAGAAAACACCTCCAATTTTATCTCAGTATTTTCAATGATTTTTTACTGTGGCTTTCTCTGTGTCTCTTGGCTTAAAGGGAAATCTTACCATATTTTGCTCTATAGCTATCATTCAAGTTCACCTTCTTCCTATTTATCAAAATTGTTCAACTTTTTTTGTTAAACCAAAAACAAGGTTCTGGAGTGTTTTGTTTTTTAAAACCTATCTTCCGTTCCCTAGTCATTGTTATTGACCCATGTTTAAGGAGGGACAAGGTCCTTGATTGGGGACCTTTTTTATTTTGGTTCAACTGATTTAAACCTCCAATAAATACACATTTATTTTAAGCTAAACACATTTCTGTTTTCCATCTGAGCTTTCCCATGTTCTTTTGAATTGGATTAAAGTGCATCTTACCTTACTGAGCTTAGAAAAATCATTAATATGCAAAAATGCAAATGAAATATAAATACAAAAACATTTTTTTTTTACTGTTATACAGTCTTGTATTCCTTTAAAGCCAAGATTTTTGCCAGTTATCATTTTCAAATGGTTATCCATTCTGATTTTTCTTATTGAACAGATGGTGGTCTGATTCACTTTACTCTTCATCTTATGCATTACACTTTTATGTGATATATCATGTTGTTTCTAGAGAGAGTTAATACATTCAAAGGTTATTCTCTGAAGGGGTTTCACAGACCAGCTCCGTAAGATTTCCAAGGATGCAGGGATGCCCATCCAGGGCCAGCCTTGTTTCTGCAAATATGCGCAAGGTGCAGACAGTGTGGAGCCCATGTTCCGGCATCTCAAGAACACCTACTCGGGACTGCAGCTTATCATTGTTATTCTGCCTGGGAAGACACCTGTGTATGGTGAGAAATTAATTTAATGCCATGTTTTAATTCAGTTATGTTATTTATTCTGGTCTCTCCTTCACCTTTCCAGTCTTCTTTTACTGTACCGTTTCCTCTGTGATCCAGGGCCACTGGCCTTCTTCTGCTCTTCTCTCAAAATAACTCTTATCTCCTGACTCTGGGCGTTTTCACTGTCCATCCTCCATCCATGGAATTCTTTCCATCTTCTCTACCTCCTGGCTTCCTTCAAACTACCTTTTCCAGAAAGCCTTTCCTAATCCCTCTTAATTCTAGGGCTTTTCCTCTATTAATTATTTCCTATTTATCCTATATATAACTTGTTTGTGTGTAGTAGTTTGCATGTTGTCTTCCTCATTAGATTGGGAGCAGGAACTGTCTTTTGCCTTTCTTTGTATCCTAGCACTTAGCACAGTGCTTTTGCACATAGTAGGTTCTTAATAAGTTTTATTGACTGACTGATCTTCAGTTTTTTTTTCTTTAAATATAACTATGTGCTAGGGACAGCCTTAAAATCAATCTGTCATTTTATTTTAAATTTAAACAAGTAACATTATGATGTGATAGTAGTATATTGCCAGCATGATTTCAAGGTTATGCTTTTGATTTTTCCTAATGAGATATGTGTATTTGCTCTTCAGCGGAAGTGAAGAGAGTAGGAGACACACTTTTGGGGATGGCTACTCAGTGTGTTCAAGTGAAGAATGTTATAAAAACATCTCCTCAAACCCTCTCAAACCTGTGCCTAAAGATTAATGTTAAACTAGGAGGAATCAATAATATCCTTGTACCTCATCAAAGGTAAGAAAATTTAATAATAAATATAATTCTATAAATGACCCCAGTTGGTTTTGCATTGCCATAACCTATCAAAGATAATTCCAGGAGAAATAAAAATATTTAATTCTGCAAGTATCCCCATTAATACAGAGATACTTTGTAACATTTAAAGTTTCATCAAAAAGTTTTTATTAAAATCCTTTTGAACTTTAGCTTCTCTTTCATTTTGAATACCAAATAAGAACTCTTACAACAAGTATCTGGCCATAAATTATTAGGAAAATTAATAGTATTCTACTTTGTTTGGAAGGATAAGCAGTTGTCATCCTCAAAAAGCATTTTCAAGTGACAGGGTGTACACATTCATGTTCTAGGTGCTGTATGAAGAGAATGGCATAGCCACAGCTCACTGCATTCCAGAAGTATGACATTTAAATCCAGTCTTTTAGTGAGGCAGAATGGGATAGTGAGAAAATCTGAATTTGGAGTCAGGAGACCTGATTCATATGGACACTATAGCTGTATGACTTTGGACTAAACATTTCATTTGAGTGTCCTGTTACTTTTTTTTTTTTTTTTTTTTTGGCTAGGCAATGGAGTTAAGTGACTTGCCCAAGGTCACACAGCTAGTAAGTGTTATGTGTCTGAGGTCGAATTTGAACTCAGATCCTCCTGAATCCAGGGCTGGGGCTCTATCCACTATGCCACCTAGCTGCCCAAAAGAGTTAGCTCTTTTTTTTTTTGGTGAGGCAATCCGGGTTAAGTGACTTGCCCAAGGTCACACAGCTAGTATGTGTCAAGTGTTTGGTCTGAGGCCGGATTTGAACTCAGGTCCTCCTGACTTCAGGGCCGGTGCTCTATCCACTGTGCCACCTAGCTGCCCCTTCCTGTTTCTTATTTATAAAAATGTGGATAATATTTGCATTACCTACTTCATGGGATGAAACATAAACATACAAACATAAAGTGCTATAGAAATAGGAGGGATTTTAAAATAGTCATTGTTTTAAACTTATGTGGTTTTTTTATTTTCTTAGAGTACAAAATATGTGATAGTGATATTTTCTCCAGTTTTCTCTTTGAGGTGAAACATTGGTTTTTTTATTTTCCTTTATATCTTTAGGATTATATCTTGGGGTGAAGTGTCAAGGTAACATGATTCTGAAATGATTTTCCAAATTCATTGCCATCTCTACCATTAACCTGATAGACATTAAATAAGATATTACACCTGCCTTCATGGAGCTTAGAATCTGGGGAATTTAATGTATACATAAGTAACTTGTTTAAGTACTTTGTAAGGTCTCTGAATTGAAATCATTCCTAACTCTGGCAGGCAGGGCATAGGTAAGGGATTAGGCAAGGCTTCATTGGAAGAGATGTAACATTCGAGTTTGGTTCTTAAATTAAAAAGACAGAGTAATATTTTAATAGCTATTCCAGGCAGAGGGAACAGAGCTAAAACATGGCTGGGAAGCACAGGACAGGTACACAGGACTATCAACAAGCATTTCTTTGCCATTTTTTAGTTATTTTTAGTCATGTTTGACTCTCCATGACCCCATTTGGGTTTTTCCTGGAAAAGATACTAAAGTGGTTTGCCATTTCTTTCTTGAGTTCATTTTACAGATGAGGAAACTGAAACAAAATGACTTGCACAGGGTCACACAGCTAGTAGGTTGTTGGATTTGAACTTGGGAAGAGTCTTCCTGACTCCAGGCCCAGCACTCTATCCATTGTGCCGTTTAGCTGCCCCAAACATTTCTTACGTGTCTGCTATGTGCCAGGTCCTGTGCTTGGTGTTGGCGGTACAAAGACAAAAAAGGAAAGCATTCTATCAGAGAAGACATGGACTAAGTGTGTGTGCATATGCGTGTGTATATATATGTATAAATGTGTGTGTGTGTATATGCAACAGAATAAAAACATGGTAGTTAAATACAAAAAAGAAAGAGGGCGCTAGCAGTTGAGGAGATCGGGAAAGGCTTTGTGTAGAAGGTGGTACTTGAGCTAAATCTTGAATAGGCCTATGCATAAAATCATAAGATATGGATACAGTGAATGTAAATGTGTTTTAACAAATTCTAAGAATATTTGAACTAATGAAGCCCTTAGTTCTTAGTTTCAGAATAACTCAGGAGAATCTGGGGCAGGGATGGGGAGGAGTGGAATAAGTAATGGACTAGAAGCCAGAAGATGTGGCTCCTAGTTCGGATACTTACTACCTAAGTGACTTTAGAGAAATCACTCCTCTTTGGGCAACAGGTCCCTCAGATGTAAAGAGAGGAAGTTAGATTAAATGCTTTATAGTATTTCTTTACATAAAGTTTAGGATTGTACTACAAAAGGTGATAGATAGTGAAAATATAAAAAGATTCAAAAGATATTTAGATAAATTGGTAGATCTTATATCTGTAAAAAGTTACTTAAGGGAAGTTGGGAATATTTAGGGTAGTTTCCTAGTCTTTTGCCAGTGTCTTCAAGGGTAGCTATAATGCTTCTCCTTATTACCACTGTCATAATGTGAACTTGGGATCTTTCATTTGACTTAATGTAACATTTTTTAAAATATTGCTGTGGGATAGTGAAACATGAATTAAGCAAATAAAAAGTTTTCAGTAGAACAGGCTTACCAAGCAAACTATTCACAGGCTTTTTTCACTTGTGTAGTTTTTCTGTGCATAACAGTTTTCCCCATTCTTAGTGGGCAGATCTGTAACTAAATAGCTTATAACTCATTAGAAGTAGCCTAAAGTATGTTCGTGTATAAACATATACACACACACATTTTTTTTTTTATCTTAAAGACCTTCTGTGTTCCAACAACCAGTGATCTTTTTGGGAGCAGATGTCACTCATCCACCTGCTGGTGATGGGAAGAAACCTTCGATTGCTGCTGTGAGTTTCTTCTTTTTAAATTTTATTTTTTTTATTCTGAACTTAAGTACACATACAAAGTAGAACACAAAAGGAGGAATGTGTATGAAGTTGTGAGTCTCCATTTCATGCCACTGGCTTTGTGAGTTCCTTTCTGCTTCTTATGAGCTTATCAACATTCTTAAAATATCATTAGATTTACAATGGATTTGATAAATTTCAGAAATTAACTTGCAGTTCTCTGGTGTATACCTTGTTTGTTTCTACACTATGTTCTGGTTATCTCTCTATAAAGGCTTTAGATTTTCAGTTAATGGTTTTTAAATTGTTTGACAAAGTAAAGGAAGTTGTCTCTTTACTGTTAAACAGCACTTTATACTTCAGTGCCTCATTGGATCCATGATTTCCTCCATATGGGCATTTGATTCACAGTATAAATCCCAACCCATCTATGCCCACTCATCCTATATAATTCATGTCAATATCTTTCTGTAAATTAGCTTCATAGATGATCTATTCAATATGCTAGAGGCCTTCCTCTGATTTATTTAGTATTTCATGGACAGCTCTACATTTTGGCTCTTCATCTGTTATCCCCCACTCTTACTTTGTCTCTAGTACATCTGTTTTTCTCATTGTGTATTCCTTGATGTCTTTAACTTCTCCTGCACAAGTAATCTGCTCCAATCTGCTTGTATCTACCATTTGTCTTTCCATTGCCCTTTATGTCACCTGCAATTGTGATTCTTCTTGTGATCATGGTGTTCCATGATCTACAACTATATGGCATCACAAAGAGAGCATTGGTATTCAAAAGATAGGATTTTGAAACATTGAGCAGATTGGGATCATTAAAAATGCTATGTCCAAATGTTGTCCAGCCTAACCTCCTCCTTCCATTCTAGGAAGGATTTCATTCTAGGCCCAGTTCACTATCCATCCATAGTACTCTGTCCAAGAGATGCATATTGATAGACTAACTTAATGGGTTGCTCATACAACCACCTATCATAACCTGAGCAATATACATTCTTCATCTACTTTGTATTTCATTTGTGGGTAGCTAGGCTGATCTCTTTTGAGTGACTGTGGATGTCTTTAAGAAGGCAAGGCTCAATATAATCAGCATAATGTCATCTGTAAACAGGAATATCTGGAGAATCTCAATAAGGAACACCTCCTCTATTTTGACTTTGCTCAGGGTATCTTCCATGACTGGTGAACATGGCTCCCTGTTTGATGCCTCGCTTGATGTTGATGATCAGCAGTCACTGAACAGAGTTACCTTGATGGCTATATTTGGCATGGAATCTTCTTGTTAACATACATGTGAGAGATAAATTGGGAAAAAACCTCGAAAGACTACATTTTGTTCTCCTAATTAGAATGTGGTTTTGTGGCTGGTGTTTTTTGTTTTTTTTTTACATAATCAACAAATAGTAGATATGTCAGGATGTTATATTCACTGTACTTCTGCCAGTTGTATGACTCAAGATGTACTCTCTTATAGAGAGTCATCACTGAAAGCCTGTTTGTTCTTTTTTCTAGTTCATGGGTGGGGAACCTTTTCATGTTGGAAGGCCGCATTAATATTTAGCTGTAATCAAATAAGGTCTCATTCAAGAGACTTCAATTAGATATACTTTAAAATGTATATTATTTTATAAATATCTGTGTACTTAGTAAGTTTTAAAAATGAAAACAATTTGTTAATTTTAAAGTTAACTAACTTTTTGATGACTTTGTTGTGTATGCTTCTTGTTGGAAAGCATTTGAATATTTGGTTGCAGCATGTAGGTCTGCAGTTTCAGTTAATCCTCTAGATCTGTATCAGTCATTTATGACGTTAAAAGCATCTTGATTTGGATTAGGTAGGAGAATTTAGATTCACAGCAATAAGTAGTTGAAAAGCAAGAAAGCATTTTTCAAGTATGTTGCCAAAAGCATGGGTATTCTACTACATTTTTCCATGTTTCAATTGGATTTTTCTTTGCATCGAACGATGACTTTAAAATGTCATCTACTGAGAGCTCAGTCAATTCCATTTGTAGTTCTTTAGGTGCCTTGGTGATATCAACTAGGTGAGGCTGAAATGCTGATTTAAGTGTGATGTCATGATTCTCAAACTCAGTGAACCTTTCATTGGATTCTCCAATTAATAGGTTATAACAGCTGCATATTCTTCAAATGATTCCATATATCATCCAGCTTATCAGTGACTTTTGCTGACTGGGGAAAATGTTCACCCAAAATTTCCTTTTGAAGAAGTGTTTTGAAAAAAGATAGCTTTTTTCACAATGCTTGGATTTTTTTGCTACATATCATATATAGACTTAGTTTTACCTTGCAAAGAAAATTTAAATAGTTTTTATTGACATATCACACAGAAATCAGCATTCCTATGGAAATATTCTTTCAGTAATTCACATTGCTGATTCTGTTCTTCATAAAATTTAACTATCTGTTCTTGCAGAGATAAAATTTTGGCTAACACCTATCCCTTCGATAGCCAAAGCACTTTAGAGTGATGTGGCAAATCATTCAACTCATCGTTCAACTTTAACATGTTATGAAACTGATGATGCCATGTTGCATTTGCACAAATGTAGTTAACAATACTTATAACTTGTTGCAAAGTGTCACTTAAAATAGTAGCTTTAGCCCAGAGATTTTGCTGATACGAGATACAATGAAAAGAAATGAGAGCATCTGGATCTGTTAATACTTTTTTTATCTGTGCAATAAACCCTTCATGTTTCCTGTCATGGAAGGTGCACTGTGTCTGTACATACCAAATTTACTAAATTCAGTCCAACTTCATGATATTTATCTTGAAAGTTGTTGAAGATATCTATTCCCCATGTTCTGTTCACTAGAGTGCTCAAAGCGAGTAACTCTTCGTAGCAAAGAAAATTTTCTGTTATGATCCAAATGAAGTATAAAACCTATGTTGAGTCAGTAATATCAGTTGATTCATCCAAAGCGATTGAATAATATATATTTTCCTTTTGAAGTATTGCATGAAGTTCTGTTAATTTGAAGACTAATTCCTGCTGCCAGTCAGTTATGGTTCTCCTTGAAAGAGGCAGTTGTTTATATTTTGAAATGTTATTGGGGTCTAAGCATCCTACAACTTCGACAATGCATTCTTTTACAATTTCTACATCACTGAAAGGCTTCCTTTTTTTCCTTAGTATATAAGCTACTTTATAAGTTGCTTCAGTGACATTATTTCCAGGTCTTATTGCTGCTTGAAAGAATTGTCTTTGCTTTTGCTTTTCATCTTTTAATTTCTGCAGTCTTTCTCCCTTTAATTTAAAATATTTGTGGTCCTTATAAGTGTTATAATGTTGATGAACACTGAATTTTTTTCTTTTTTAAAAATTTATTCATTTATTTTTAGTTTTCAGCATTCACTTCCATAAGCTTTTGAGGTTTAAATTTTCTCCTCCTCCCTCCTTCCCCTCACTTCTTCCAAGATAGCATGCAGTCTGATATAGGCTCCACATGTACATTCATATTAAACATTTTCACATTAGTCATGTTTGTAAAGAAGAATTAGAACCAATGAGAGGAACCACAAAAAAGAAGAAACAAAACAAAACAAAAACAACAACAAAAGAGAGGGCAAATAGTATGCTTTGATCTGCATTCAAACTCCATAGTTCTTTCTCTGGATACGGATAGTATTTTTCATCATGAGTCTTTTGGAGTTGTCTTAGATCCTTGCATTGCTGAGAAGAGCCAAGTTTATCAAAGTTAGTCATTGAACAACATGGCTGTTAATTTGTACAATGTTCTCGTGGTTCTGCTCACTTCACTCAGCATCAGTCCATACAAGTCTTTCCAGATTTTTCCGAAGTCCACCTACTCGTCCTTTCTTATAACACAATAGTATTCCATTCCATTCATATACCACAACTTGTTCAGCCATTCCCCAATTGATGGGCATCCCCTCAATTTCCAAGTCTTGACCACCACAAAAAGGGCTGTTATAAATATTATTGTACATGTGGGTCTTTTTCCCATTTTTATGATCTCTTTGGGATACAGACCTAGAAGTGGTATTGCTGGGTCAAAGGGTATGCCCAGTTTTATAGCCTTTTGGGCATAGTCCCAAATTGTTCTCCAGAATGGTTGGATCATTTCACAACTCCACCAACAAGAGCATTGAATTTCTTTAATGTTGATATTGAAGTATCACAGAGCAAGCAGATCATCTTATCTTTAGCAGAAATAAGATAATATTGCAATTCCCAATCCTCATTAAAAAATCTGTTTTCTTCTTTCAGCATTCTCTTGGGCTGCTAAGCAGACAGAATTTAAAAATACTGTGGAGCTGTGCAACTATTCACAAATTCCACTTCAAACAGAAACAGTATACTATTGTCAAAAGCTGATAACAGACTGGTGTACTCGACCCCCATAAACTCTTGCCAACTAGCCTCATGTGTTAGTAGTGCCAGTCGGGCGGGGGAAGTTAGAGCTAAATAATGAGTGTAGCAGTCGTCAATTTAGCCCTTATGGCTTACTAATGTTCTAATTGTGCTGGTCAATCTGGGAGGATTATTTCATTAAAACTTACTTTATTCTTTGGTATTTTAAATATGTTCATTTTAAAAATAAAAAAATATAAATGATGAACAAAAATGTATTAATAAAAATAAAAGGATCTATTCCGTAAAATTTGAATCAGTCAAAAAGCCTCACTTAAGGACCTAGAAGGCCACATGTGGCCTTAAGGGCACAGGTTCCCCGCCCCTGTTCTAGTTCATCATGGATATACTATATTGTATAGGTCATTCTTGTGCGTTAAAACACACACTACAAAATATTGGCGTTGATTCTCATGGTTTATGTTAAGTTCTGAGACATACTTTGTGTTCTTAAGAAATTTACTGTAATAGAAAAAAATGTAAATGGCAGGAATACAAAAGGCTCATTTTGGTGATCTTGTTCATGGGTCATTTTCTTATTTGACTTTTAAAATCCTTCTTGAGCTCCTCCCAGAAGACTTTTTGGGCTTGAGACCAGTTCATATTCCCCTATGATGTTTTGGATGTGGGTATATTGACAGTGTTGTCCTCTTCTGAATTTGTGCCTCGATCTTCCTCTCCCCATAATAAGAATCTATAGTCATTGTCCATTCCTGCTTTTTGTACATGGTGTTTGCCTATTTCGTGACTTTAAAAAAAAAGTTGAGTTCTCCTGCAGGAGTGAAGGAAGCAGTTAGCCAAGCTTCTTTTCCTGCTCACCTGGGCCTTGCATTTGAATATTTGGCTCCTGCTCACCCAGGCCTTGCACAAGGATATTTCACTGCTGGTGAATGTTTGTCAACCTTGAGTTTTGCCTCCTAGGGTTGTGCTTCCCATAGTTGTGTTGAGGCACCAGCTGATTTGGCTACTGGAGAAGACTGTCGCCCATGGTGGTTTTCTGAGTTGGTGTCTATCAGTTCCCCTCCTTGTATTGAGGTTCTCAGGGGGCCTGATGCTGGCACTTGCCTGCTCTATCAACCTGGGTCTCAAGATCTCCCCTGGTATGCTCAGGTGGGACTTGCTGCTGGCTTGCTGGGATGCCTCCTGTCCTATACTGCTTCCCCTAACCCAGAGCGAGAGGGGCCTTTCCCATTAATACCCCAAGCTTCCTGGGCTACAAGACTGCAGCGCCCTGTCTTTTTGCTGGCTTAGGGTTTTTCCTGGATCGATATTTTCTGGGTTTTCAGAGGTCAGTAAGGGAGGGTAAGAGTGACTTAACTTCTTACTCTGCTGTCTTGGCTTCCCAAAGCGGAACCTCATGGGTCATTTTCTATGTGTTTTATAGATCTGTAAGGAGCCAGCATCTTTTCATATAAAATACATGCCTATTAAATGGCTATTGTCATTTTGTTTTACAAATCAAAATAGATTTGTAAAAGTAAATTTCTGTTAAATATGTCCAAAATTAAAGTGATAGGTGGTGATGATTGAACTTTATCTTGATCAAACATAAAGCACATTGGTGGTTTACTTGTTTTTTTGTGCTAAACAGGTAGGTATAGTGAAATATAAGACTCCATCCACATTAGAAATAAGTGGTTATAAAGAAATCATCATTCATTAAAAATAGGAAAATTAGATGATTATTAATCCAGAAATGGGAGTAGATCCGTGCTTCACACCATATGTTATAATAAATTCTGATTAAATCAATAAACATAAGTTTTTAAACATGTGGGGGGGATTATTTCATCTTCATGATTATGATAACTTTTAGAGAAATGGAAAAAATTACTGGAGACAAACTAGTTGGGCCGCCTTATACAGAAAAAAGGTTTTACTCAGCAAAAAACAATGCATCCCAAATAAAAAGCAAAGCAGGTTGTAAAGGGAGGACCTTTGACCTAAATAAATGTCCTAATAAAAGTCAAATCTCCAGAATCTGTAACTCTGACACATTAATAGAAATAATACCTATTCCCCTGTGAATAAGTGATCAAAGATTATGCAACAGGCAGTTCTTGAAAGAATTAACACGTTATTAATAATCACCTGAAAAACCGTTCCTACTCTGTAATCTGAGAAATTGAAATTACAACTTTGAAGTGAGGCAGTTATTTTACCACTTGTCAAATTGGCAAATATAATAAAATTTGCTGTTGGTTGGAGGTATTGGAAAATAGATATGAAGCTGTGAATTGGCTCAGTCTCTTTGGAAAGTATATTTAGGCATTCTATAATGAACTACAAAACATCATAGCATTTAACCCAGTAATCGTATTTCTAATTAGGACTATTCCTAAAGATGTTATTAAAAGAAAAATACATATTTGTAATAGCCTTACTTACGATAACAAAAACTGGAAACTAACTTCTATGTCTAGTGATTTGGGAATAGCAATGTAATAGAATATTACATTGCAATAAGTGACAATACAGCAAAACATGGGGAGAAAAAGTCTGTATCTGGTTTTACTTAATTTTTTCTTACAAGGGAGGCTAGGGGGCTGAACATTAGGGGAGATTATTATGGAAGTGATTCAGGACAAAGAAAACAGAATCAGGAAAATTACTATGACTAGGGGAGGGAGTACAGCAATCTGATAAATTTATGGAATAAAAAATGATTGGAGGAGTCCATAGGAGCAAAATAAGTGACAAAAAACTTCCCCAAAATTAGAGCTTTCCAGAAGTGAAGCTGGCTTCCTTGGTAGGTTTTTACCTATTAAAGGTCTTCAGGTGAATGCTAGGTGACTACTTGCAAAGGTGTTATTCATTCTATATCCATTCATGTATGGATTGGATAGATGGCCTTTGAGGTTCTTTCCCAGTTCTGAAATTGATTTTATATGACAGTGTTATTGCTCTTTTGTTAAACCTTTTCATTGGGAGTTAGTAGTTTTGTGTTTAATTGTATTTCTTATTTTTTACATCATTAAATTTATATTTTAAAGAAAAAATCTTTCAGAGTGATGCTTCTGTAGCTAGTACTGTTTAATGGACGTTGAGGCAGTTATTAGTGGCAAACTATCTTTTTTTTTCATTATTTCCTTTTTCTTCCACTCATCTTCTCTGTCTCCCAGTTTTTCTTTCTTCATTCTTCCTTTACTTATCCTGTAGGCTTCCTAGTGGTGCCTGTCAGTAGTGTCCATCCATCGTTGGTAGCATGGGCTGGGGAAATGCAAAGTTCTATCCTAGGCTATATATAATAAAGAATGCCCATATTTCTTTTGCATTTCAGTTTACAAGGTGCTTCACATTCAGTATTTCATTTCCTTCACAGAATGACTCTGTGATACAGTCGTTATTGGGGTAATATTAGTCATATTTTTAAATGAGAAAGTTGAGTCTCAAAAGTTTTGATTTGTCTGTAAGCATAAGTGTTGGAGCTAAGATAAAACCCACTTCCAGCTCTGAGTCTCCATTGCTTTTTGTGTTACCTTGTGCTGCTCAGAGGTTTGTAAAACAATGAAGAATACACTCTTCCAGTGCTGTAATTTGTAAGGTTACATTTGGGTCTTAATTCTCTTAATTAGAAATTATCTAATGCTAATTTGTATAAGGAAGATACTAATTTGTAGTAATTCCACATGACTTTGTTGGTCATTTCTTCATTTTCTTATTCATCTTTTTTGTAGGTTGTAGGCAGTATGGATGCCCACCCAAGCAGGTATTGTGCCACAGTAAGAGTTCAAAGACCCCGACAGGAGATCATCCAAGATTTGGCCTCCATGGTCAGGGAACTTCTCATCCAGTTCTATAAGTCAACTCGATTCAAGCCCACTCGCATCATCTTTTATCGGGATGGTGTTTCTGAGGGCCAGTTTCGGCAGGTGAGCTGCCCAGAGGATGTTGATCCAGGGATGGACCCAGAAATGGTGCCTATGTAATGAATTCTAGCTGTCTAAAAAATGTAGAGTTGAGAGATCATAAGTGGCTTTAAATTTTGATGTTTCAGTATCATTTATTTTTGGAATGACCAGTAGATAGATTTTGTATGGTTTTGATAGGTGTGAGGAGCATACAGTTTGACAGATGGGATGCCATTGTTCCTTGAAGCCTTTCCTGATCATCCTGCCCCCCCGCACTTCATCAGAAATGATTCTGCCTTTCAGCTTACGCAGTGCTCAGTTTTGTACTTCTTTAATGCATTTAGTATGTAATGCCACATTTAGCTACATGTTTTTGTCTTACCCTCTACTAGATTGTAATCTTCATAAGGGCAAGAATTGTTTCCTACTTAACTTTTTGTCTTCCTTTAACTCAGTGTGCTACACAAAGTTGGTAGTCAGTGAAGAAATTTTTTTTGTTTTTTTTTAATTAATTTATTTTGATTTATCAATAATCACTTCCACATGCTTTTGAGTTTAAAATTTTTCTCCCCCTTCCTCCCCCCCACCCTCCCTAAGACGGTGCACAATCTGATATAGGCTATACATTTACATTCATATTAAACATATTTTCACATTAGTAATGTTGTAAGTAAAAATTAAAACCAATAGGAGGAATCATCAGAAAGAGGAAACAAAACTCAACAGAAGAGGAAAAAAATAGCGATTCAACTTCCATAGTTCTTTCTTTGGATGTGGATAGCATTTTCCATCACGAGGCCTCTGGAGATGTCTTAGATCCTTGTATTGCCAGGAAGGGTTAAGTTTATCAATATTAGTCATCACACAACGTGGCTGTTATTGTGTACAACATTCTCTTGGTTCTCCTCACTTCAGTGAAGAAATATTTAAATGATTATTTATGTACCAGGCATGGTGCTAAGCACTGGGAATACAAATACAAGCCAAAAAGAGAGAGAAAGAGAGAAAATGTCAATGGCCTTAAGGAGCTTACATACTGTGGAGAGAAGAGGAATACATAAGAGAACGTTCTGCAATGGGGGGGTGGGGCTGTGGGGGGAGACTGATCTAGACCCTTCCTCAAAATGGAAGTCTTGGGAGGAAAGAGGCCACAGGGTTGGAGGGAGAAGGTAGAGTAGCTTGGTGGCAGAGTCTGAAGAGGTATGGTGAATAAATGGAATAAGAAACTAAATTGAAAAAGGGGAAGAGGAAATAAGAAAACTTAAGTATAAAGCATTCTTTTTGATGAAAGATATACAACAAGTACCATTGACTTTCTAAACTTTCTCTGATATAGGTATTATATTATGAGCTGCTTGCAATTCGAGAAGCCTGCATCAGCTTAGAGAAGGACTACCAGCCTGGCATCACCTACATTGTGGTGCAGAAACGCCACCACACACGGCTGTTTTGTGCTGACAGAACCGAAAGGGTAATCTTGCATCTGGGACAGTGTCATCAATCAGGCACACATTGCACACCATTAGCTTAGTTCTCACAACTTGTGACATGTTTGGGGTGATCCTTTCCATTTAAATCACCCTCTCTGCCTTTGTGGAGTGGTGATTGTGTATGTGGAACAAAGTGTGGGTACAGAAGCAATAGGCTCAGAGGTGTTGACAGAGGTGAATAACCCTTTTTAGTTTCTAATGTTTCTAACAACTGGATAAATATTAAAAATTCATTTTGTTTTTAAGTTAATTTGAAAACATTGTATATCTATTTACAAACTGTTGGTGTTCAAATATTCTGAAGAAAAGGCCTAGCCTTTAGAGAGCTATAGTGTGCTATACTCTCTAGCAGAAGCCAGGTTATAAAAAAGAAAACTAAAAGCCTGCTAGACTGGTTCGTGTGTAATATTAATCCGTTTGCTGCAAATTAACTTTTATATCAAAACTCACTTTGAAATTAAAATAATTAGGGAAGAAAAGCTGCCCAGGTGCAACAGTTGCCTTGTGCTGTATTAGACAGAAATCATCACAGGTGGTATTCTCATGTATGCATGGCAGGAAAGGGCAGGTTTACAGAGCTAGAAAACTAATAAGCCACTGGGAACAAAGAAAGATATGGGGAGCAAAAGGCAAATGTCACCCTCTTAGGAAGAAGACTGCTACGGCAGCAAATCAATATCCTTTAACAAGTGGCAAGTAAGTAGTCTAAGGACTTTAGATACCAAACTGTCTAGAGCCCAAAGCTGTTAATACCTGAAGCATAAATGAGAGAAGGCTAAAAGCTTCTCCATAAAGCAAAACAAATGAAGCCAGAGTTAAATTAACCAACAACTCATAAAAGGAATGAATTTTATTCACAAAAGCATTTCGTCTATATCTAGATGTTTATATTTCATTTAGTTTTACTCTAAATGGTATTATTTACTCTAAATACCTTTTCCTACTGCCCCACCAGCCCTGTAATTTCAACAATGTAGTGAACTAGCAGCAAGGGAATTCCTTCTGCCAGTACAACTACCAAGGCAGCTACTCTGCAGCTTAGTTGGAGAGAGTTGCTTGGGACACTGAGCAGTTAAGTGATTTCCTAGAGCAGGAATGGGGAACCTGCAGCCTCAAAGCCACATGTGGCCCTCTACATCCTCAAGTGCGGCTCTTTGACTGAATCTAAACTTCACAGAACAAATCCTATATGCCCTCGAGGCCGTAGGTTCCCCACCCCTGTCTTAGAGTCATATAGCCAATTTGTGTCAAGGGCTAGAATTGAACCCAGATATTCCAGACTCCAAAGCCTTCCCTCTGTTCACAATGCCAAGCTACTTTTCATCATTTTAAATTAATAATTATGCTTGTGTTTTTAAGAAAGAGCTTCAATGGCTAGCTCATGTTAATCTATATGATACACACATGGCAAAAAAGACACCTAGCCAGTTAGCTCAAATATCCACAACCCATGGCACTTAGAGTTTAAAGGATGGCATATATCTAATTTTCAAGCCTTATTATGCCTAAGAGAAAAAAATTGCCTCTGAAGTGCTTAAAATCTCAATTGGAAAATATAGTGATGAGAAAAAAAGGTATGGGGATGGAGAATAGCAGAACTAGAAATAAAATAATGCTTCATGCCAAATGCTCCATAGAGGAACCCTGGGAGGGAGGAATCCTGGCTGGAGTGATCCCTGGCACCCTACTGGCCGGAGGACCAGAGATAAGTAACTATAGAAACCTGAGACCCAAATCCTAGACAGAAGAACTCAGATCTGCCTAGGCAGCAGACATGTGTCGTTGATTTATTTCTGTCTGATGTACAATCGTGTTATTTATGTCTTGTTTACATTTTGATGGGAAAAAAATAGGTTGGAAGAAGTGGAAACATCCCAGCTGGAACAACAGTAGACACGGATATTACCCACCCCTATGAGTTTGATTTTTACCTCTGTAGTCATGCTGGAATACAGGTAAGCCTTTTGTATTTTGACATATACTTGTAAATATCAATAATCATTTCTTTTTTAAAATGTTAGCTTCTTAAAGGTAAAATTTTGTTGGTCATTTAATATATAGTTATTCAGACTACATTATGGCTTTAGGTGAAATTACTTCAAGTGTCTTTTTCTTTCAGGAATACTTCAGTATAATTTCACATCTTACTCCGGGTGAATGCATTCCCACAGGCTTTTTTTAAATCTATCTACAATATGCAAAGTACAGGTGATATTAACAGAATTGAGGAATGATCCCTGCCCTCACATCTGCTTATAATGAATAGAGAGAAATAGAACATACTAATGTGTTATACTACATGTGACTATAAATGTAAAATTGGAAGAATAAGAGTAATACAAAAGGATTTGCATGGTTCAGGGAAGAAAAGATGTTAGGGTTATGGAGGAGATGTGGAGAGGTGGCCTTTGTTGAGTGCAGCCTTGGAAGATGGGTGCAATTTGAAATGGTGGAAATAGGGTAGGAACACAGGCTTACAGAGCAGGGAACAGAAGGAACAAAGGTACCTCCAGGAGCAAAGTACCAGAGATATGCAAAGGATGATGAATAATCTCCTATGACACTAAGTCAGTGGATGTTTATTGAGTGCCTGTTCTGTGCCAGGCTCTTTGCAAGAAAGAATGTTTTTATTCGTTGTCTTTGTATTTCCAGCATCTAGTACAGTAACTCATACATACTACGTGGATTGTTGTTCAGTCATGTCTAACTCTTCATGACTCCATTTGGGGTTTTCTTGGCAAAGATACTGAAGTGGTTTGCCATTTTCTTCTCCAGATCATTTGACAGATGAGGAAACTGAGGCAAACGGGGTTAAGTGATTTGCCCAGGGTCGCACAGCTAGTCAGTGTCTAAGGCCAGATTTGAACTCAGGAAGATGAGTCTTTCTGAATACAGGCGTTGTATTCTATCCACTGCCACCTAGCAGTCAGTAAATGGCTAAGAGATGTCTAATTGATCCACAGTTTTGGCAAACTATCTTGCTTTCCTTTCCACTTACAAAACAGCCCATCTCTAGCCTTTGCAGAAAATATCTCCCATACCTGGAATGTGCTCCCTTCTCCCATCGGCTTCTTAGAATCCTCAGCTCCTCCAAAGCTCAGCTGAAGTGCTGCCTCCTGAGCACCGAGATGTTAGTGCTCCTGCACTCTTGTCCCAAGGTTACTTCATATATATGCTTTGTGTTCACTTATCTGTGTATGTAACTTCTTTAGGGCAGACCCTGTTTCATTTTTGTCTTCATAACCCTGGTGCCTTCATACAATGTTGGTGCTTCGTATGTTTATTAAATTGAAAGGCATGACATGGCCATATATGTGCATAAGGAAAATTATCCTGGCTGTAGTTGTTCATAAAATCAAAGATCTAGAACCAAGAGGGACTTTAGGTACCCTCTGATTTTACAGACAAGGAAACAGACCCAAGCAAGGTAAATGACTCACCCTCAATCACACAAGGTAGTTAAGTATAGCATAAAAGATGACCTGGAGAGAGGTAGAGAATGAAGGCAAGAGAGGCTGGGGCAGAAGGCATGTGCTAGGAAAATAAGAATGGGAACACGAAAGAGTAGATGAATTTAAAAGGGATTTGAAAGATTGGTAACTGGACCAGAGAAGAAACTAGAATTAGTTTTTACTAATGTAACAAACTGCCTTTTTTTTTTTAAACTAAAGAATTGGAGTTAAGCTTATGCAGTGGTGTGTGTGTGTGTATGTATGTATGTATGTATTGCTCCAGAAGTTTTTTATTCCATGAGAATTGCTGTTGCTTTTTGCCTAGGGTACCAGCCGTCCCTCACACTATCACGTTTTGTGGGATGATAACTGTTTTACTGCGGATGAACTTCAGCTGCTGACTTACCAACTCTGCCATACATATGTGCGTTGTACTAGATCTGTTTCGATACCTGCACCAGCGTATTATGCTCACCTGGTAGCATTCAGAGCCAGATACCATCTTGTGGACAAAGAACATGACAGGTAAAATGGAAAAGGACACAGGTATTGTTAGTCATCCTTTTGAGTATTTAGCACTGTGCCAGTCACGGACTAGGCACTTAATAAATGTTTATTGAATTTAGTTTTGAGCCTCTCCTCTCCCTCTCCACACTCAGTTTCCTGTTGTAGTGAACTAGTAAATTTTTTAAAGCTTTCTGTTTGACTATACAGGAAGAAATAGAGCCTAGAACTTTTCTACCTGATTCAGAAAATGGATTTGAAGTTCTTACTTACAGAACCCATAATCCATATATATTCTCAGAAAAATAATGGTATTCTCTGTTTATGAAGACTTCTGAGGTGTTGTAGCACACAGGGTAAGGTGAACTTAGAAGTTGTTCCGCTATTATGCCTTAGTATATATCTTTTTACTCTAGAGAGTTATCATTCAGGATGAAGACTAGCATTCGAACTAAATCAAATGGGTCTTATGATGCTAGGGCTATATAAACTGTACAAATTGTTGCTTTTATCTTGAACTCTGAATTTATTTGCTATGAACCTGGGGGTTTATCTGGTTTTTTTTTCCCTCATGAGTCATAACAACAGTGATACAATTATTCTACCTCATTATCCCAAGAGGGGAGTCTTCTCTCTCTAGAGTGTCCCTTGGGTTTACCTGTTGATTTTCACTTCTCTTACAGTGCTGAAGGAAGTCATGTTTCAGGACAGAGCAATGGTAGAGACCCACAAGCTCTCGCCAAGGCTGTACAGATTCACCAAGACACCTTACGCACAATGTACTTTGCTTAAAAAAAGGAGTCCAAGTGTACTCACTGAGGAAAAAACTGAAAATGAATTCACATACAATGTATGTTTCCAGTGGGGTCAGTTGAATGGGCATGCATACCTCCAGCCACAGGGAGGCCAGCCCTGTGGAGGGCCGGGGGCTGATCCTCAAATTGACGCACGGAACATTGTTTACTTCATCGAGGAACACAGCACTATTATGCAATATGAAACCAGCCAACTGCTTTTTGTGCGGTCTCCCATAGGAAGTATCGCAATCCATTTTTTTTTTCCTTGTAGTTTAAACCCTTCTAATGCCTTTACCTCAAGTTGCTTGGCAGCACAACTATCTTTGCAAAAAAAGAAAAAAAAAAAGAAAAGAAAATTATGGTTTAACAGATATACACCCACAGAAACAATCAAAACGATTGTTCAGAAGAAATGTGCAAAAAGTTAGTGTTATACATGTAAAAAGTGTCCATGTGTGTATTTTAAAATATGCCCATGCATACTTTGTGTGTGTGTGTGTATACATATACATATATGTCTGTATAGATAATAGATATATGGCTGTGTATATATTTTTATACCCTACTCCATTGGAGAGCATTCTCTTTCCCTCTTGCTCATCACATCCCTCTTTATTTTTACTTCTCTCCACCTCATCAACCTCAGTCCCTTTTTTGCCTAGTGCTACAGTGACATTTGCAAACTCTTTTCTCTGGTACATTTAAATATGCAGCATTGGCTGACTAGATTTTCATTTTTGCACACCCTCACAATTAGTTTAGCTAGTTGCTGTCTTTGTGTCTTAACACAGCTCTGAGTTCTCAGCTCTAGAAATCATTTTCATGAGGGGAAAATGCTTATATATTGACATGTGCGCGTTGAGCATGTGTGTGGATATATATACAAATATGGATTTTGTGTTTGCCGATTTGCAAGAGGTGCACATAAGCAGTAATAGTAGTAGTAACCTAAACTATTTTTAGCTGTTGTTTTTCCTTGTTAGAAGTTTTCACTGTTTTTCTCTGCTAAGCAATATGGATTTTGAAGCCTCTTGCGTTTTACAAATTGAATACAGATGGCCACCCCAGAAAGTATTCCTAAAGGGGTACATATTTGAAGTAATTAGAAATCTAGAATTGGAGGTCTCTCTGAAGTGTGAGGATGGGGAAGATGGATTTTTTTGCTAATTTACTTGCTGCCTTTCCTACTTTAATGTGACTTTCACATATACATATATATATGTGCATATATATATATATGTATATATATATGTGTGTGTGTACACACACACACACACACATACACAGTTTATGTGTGTGTATATATAAACATATATGTATGTGTCTTGAAGTTTAGCTTTTACTCTTTGGTATTTATTAGAATAATAATGCTTTAATTTAAAAATTGGAGATCATATTGGCCACATCCTTTTTAGAAATGTAATCATGTTTATTTTAAGAACTGACACCTTGTTTTTGCTATCTTGTAGTGCAATAAGCTGTTCTAAAGGAAAGTTGTGTCTGCTTGGATGTATTGTAGCAGCCTTTGTACCACTCACTGGGCTAGAGAGGCACCTCCACACTTTTAAAAGGGCAAAGTAATACCCAAAAAAAAAGCCTTAATCTCAGAAGTGCTGTCACCTGTGGGCACACAGGGGACGTTCTGGGTAACTTCACAGTGATGGTGGAAGGCAGTGGAACTGCATGCGTTGAGGTGTGCGCTTCTCTGTTAGGAATGAACTAGAGCTTTGAGTTCTAATAAAGGCCAGTGCACAGTTCAAGTTTCAGAACACACTGAAATGCCTTCAAAATGACCGAATGTTTGGGATTGGTTAGGTTTAGTTTTCAGGCATCACATTTCCTGATGCCCATTTTCATTTGACTGAAGTGAATCAGGAAAACTTCTTAGTGAACTAATAAACCATAGGCACTTTTTTTGCTTAATCATTGTTACAAATTCCCTTTCAAAATTAGGGTGTTGGTGACTTAAATACTTCATTTCATTTTATAAATACATGCTAAGGGCTGGGATATAATATAAATAAGTTAAATCACTGAGATGTGAAATTTCACAAAACTCTTAATACCTTCATTCCACTTTAAAATGAAGAAAGGACTATAAAGCTGTCAGAACTGAGCATTCAGTAATAGGGAATCAGGGGAGCTTTGCACTTTGTAATTCTTGAGAAGCATTTTTAACTGTTTTGTTTGCACTGGTTCAGAATATAGATACTGCTGGTAGTTGATAATGGGCATTGCTGTTATCCCAGCCCTTTAGAATCCCACCTGTTCTCCACATGAAAACCAATAGGTTTAGTTCTTTAGTTTGTTTCTTATACATAACCCACTTATTGCCAATTCACTGTATTTTGAGCCTAAAATCTGAGCCCATTTGCTCCAAGAGGCATAAATTCTTTGGTCCCTCTTTTTATGCCAGAAAACTGAGGAAGTACTGTATTTGGTGCATCATTTCTATGTTGTATTGAAATGTATGTAGTCCCATTCACAACACTTGTCACCAATAGCTTTATATTGCAGTGTGTATGCTGTATACATCTATTTTCTCACAGTTTTCCCAGAGGGGAAAATGTATACTGCAAAGACATGAATTTTTAATAATTAAACTTGCACTGGACATGGTTGTGTAGGTGGGCAAGAGAAGGAAACACAACAGACCTCTAAATGATAAAGGGCCAGATCTCTGTGGCTGCTGTATATTTCCTTTTGTTAATGAGTCCAGTGGGAAGAACTCTAGGTTCTTAAGTAAGCGTTATAAGCATCCCTCATTTACAGGGAAGACATTTCTCAGCATCTTACAGAAGACCTGCTTGAGGAGGTCCTTGTTTTATATCCATTGGAAGCACTTTTTTAGAAAAAAATAAAGAAATATAAACGTTTACTTTCTGAGTAATTCCTTTTGAGGGTGCTCTGATTCTTCATAACAGTGCTAGTTCAATAACTTAGTTTGAGTGAAAAGTTTCTATTTTGCATACTAAATATTATTACTGGAAATTTAATTACAGTGAACATTAGAGTTTTAAGATGCTGGGTCAAATGGCAAATTTTTTTAAACTGGGTTAAGCATTTATTATTGCATCTTGGTGCAGAATATTTAACCTTTTTGATTATTTTTAAAAAGAAATGTTCCTGAGACACTGCATCTCCCCTCCTGCCCTTATTTTCTGTTACGTGCTTTTAAATTTGTTTTCTGCTTAAATTTTTCCTTTAATTTTTTTTTTTCAAATGTTAGCCCTGCCAGCAGGAATAATTGGTTTTCATGTGAAGAGAAGTTGGGAATTGATTGCAAATATGTCAGTGCACATTTTTGCATTCCAATATTAAGTTTTAGGCATTTTGGGCCAAACATTTGTGATACTGTAGCTGCTATATTTATTTAAACAGAGACGGTTAACTGCACTAGAGAATGAGGAGGTGAACAAGAATCAAGGCTTGGTGTTTGAAACCAGGTATCTTTTTTCCCTCCTAAAGAAAATCAATGGAATGGAAATCAAGTCTAATGATGGGTGCTGTCATTTTAGCTGATATTAAATATCCCTATCTTCCTTTATTTAAAACATTTGGATTTTTAATCTTTCCCTTTTGGAAAAAGGGCAGCTCATCTTCAGTGGTAGTTGATGACATTTTTATTGGAGACCCTGGATTTCTTTTGTTGTTTTTCTTTAAGGAGAAGTTCAGAATATTTTTTTAGTGTATACTTCTATTGAAATAAATGTTCTTGATTACAATGTAAGTAATCTTTTTCTTTTCTAAGGAAATAGTCCAGGAATGATGTTATTAGCAAGGATGGACAACTTTGTTTGACAGGTACGTGAAGACAGCTTATCCCTACCTCCTTGGAATTAACATCTCCAGCCTTCTCATTACCTGGCCTAGTTTGCCTAGCTATCTGTACATACATACTATTGTATCTTCTGCCTCCTCTTCATTTCTATATTCTCCAATGGAATGTATTTGACTGATTGTAGAAAATTCAGCTTCAGTTACAGATAAGAGAATATCCAGGAAAATGAAAGGCCAGCTGCAGTGGTACAGGAAAGGCTGGCAAAGGGTTTCCTTGGTGAGGGGCAAGATGATAGTATGCTAGGGTACCAGATAGATGGTCTGGATGAGGGACCATTGTCCAAGAAATGCAAAACTGGAGTTCTTTTCAGAAGACCACGTCATCTTGCCAAGAGTGATTATTTTTATGTTATTGTGACTCAAGAAGTTTGACCTTTGGGTCCAACTTTCAAAAGAAACCAGCTAGAATTTTAATATTTGTGTTTTTGTTCATCTGGGAAAGGGTTTGGTCAGGGCTTCTAGGGTGGGGAGGGGGATGGTAACATTTGCCAATGTGTTGAACTAATAGCTCTGTGTAGTGGCATTTTTACTGAGTGTCACTAAGATGATCTTAAACATTTATTGATTCTTTTCTGATACTGTTTGGAGATATTTTGAGGACTGATAACACATAAAAGTAACTTTCACATTTAAAGTGGGTTAATCTGATTTTTTATCTGTAGCCAGATGTCATTAACCTGGCACATTTTCCTTTTGTATGAACCTTCAGATATCATCTGACAGACATGAATCTCATATTCTGTCATTGGTGGGGTTTTGGTTTGTTTTCTTTTGTTTGGTGGATTACTTAAGCATGGAATTCTCAAACTTAACAAGTGGAGAGATTTTGTTTCAAGATGTGAAGTCTTTTATTTCAGTGTATCCTATAATCTTACACCCCTATGAACTTGTTTCTATGTATATATGCCCACATGTGTATGTTTTCTGAGTCTTCCGGTGTTACCAAAAGTGATGAAGCTGTGTATATGTATTTACCATACACGCACTTTCCTCACTTTTGATAACCCTGCAGGAGTCAGAAAAGAAATGAGAAAGGTTATATGTGTATATAATCTTTGAAATGTAAAATTAACTAAAGGAAATAAGAGTGGGTTTTTCTCTGAAATCCTCAAGGACATATTTGTTCAGTCACTATATTGGTGATATTTGCCTTTTTTCAGTGGCCAGGTTGACTCCTGGGACAAATTATGGCGTGCTTTCATACTCAAAAATGGTACTTTAAAAAGTTATATAACTTTAGTTTCAAACTTTGAATTGACAAAATAAATAAATAACTTTGAGTATAATTTTGGTAATACTGAGACAATAGTGGTCAAGTTTGTACAGATATCCTATTTGTAACTTTGCCTGGTTATAGTTAAGAACTAGAGTTTTTGCTTGGTTATCTAAAATATTGAAAATAAAAATTTAAATATTGAATGAAGGCAAGAGAATATTGATTATATGGCACAGAGAAGCTTAGAATTATCCAAAGAAATGCTGTTTTGAAGTATTCCAAGAATGCCTATCAAATTTTATATCTAGCTATGTGTCCTCTTCCTTTTTGAGTATTGTCTGAGGTAACTCAATTTTGCAGGCAACTAGATTAGAGCATTTTTTTTTTG